TACATAATGCCCTGAATCTATTCTACAAAGCCCGGAAATCTGCCCCTTTTATTCTCTGTACCCAACGCACTAGAAGACCAGTTCTTAAAGCCTTTAGCCGTATCCTTATTCTATTCCTCCTCTGTTCCTCTGGTGATGTAGAGGTTAACCCAGGCCCTGTAGCCCCCAGTATCACTCCTACTCCCCAGGCGCTATCATTTCTTGACTTCTGTAACCATAAAAGCCTTGGATTTTGTATGTCAACATCAGAAGCCTCCTACCCAAGTTTGAGTTATTCACTGCGTTAGCACACTCTGCCAACCCTGATGTTCTAGCAGTGTCTGAATCCTGGCTTAGGAAGGCCACCAAAAATTCAGAAATATCCATCCCGAATTACAACATTTACCGTCTAGATAGAACTACCAAAGGGGGCGGAGTTGCAATCTACTGTAGCTCTTTCATACTATCCAGGTCTGTGCCCAAACAGTTTGAGCTTCTACTTCTAAAAATCCACCTTTCCAGAAATAAGTCTCTCACTGTTACCGCTTGCCACAGACCCCCCCCCCCCCCCAGCCCCCAGTTGTGCCCTGGACACCATATGTGAATTGCTTGCCCCCCATCTATCCTCAGAGATCGTACTGCTTGGTGACCTAAACTGGGATATGCTTAACACCCCGGCCGTCCTACAATCTAAACTAGATGCCCTCAATCTCACACAAATTATCAAGGAACCTACCAGGTACAACCCTAAATTCGTTAACATGGGCACCCTCATAGATATCATCCTGACTAATTTACCCACTAAATACAACTCCGCTGTCTTCAACCAGGATCTCAGCGATCACTGCCTCATTGCCTGCGTCCATAATGGGTCCGTGGTCAAGCGACCACCCCTCATCACTGTCAAACGCTCCCTAAAACACGACAGCGAGCAGGCCTTTCTAATTGACCTGGCCCGGGTATCCTGGATGGATATTGACCTCATTCCGTCAGTAGAGGATGCCTGGATGTTCTTCAAAAGTGCTTTCCTCTCTATCTTAAATAAGCATGCCCCATTCAAAAAATTCAGAACTAAGAACAGATATAGCCCCTGGTTCACCCCAGACTTGACTGCCCTTGACCAGCACAAAAACATCCTGTGGCACACTGCATTAGCATTGAACAGCCCCCTCGATATGCAACTTTTCAGGGAAGTCAGGAACCAATATACACAATCAGTTAGGAAAGCAAAGGCTAGCTTTTTCAAACAGAAATTTGCATCCTGTAGCACTAACTCCAAAAAGTTTTGGGACACTGTAAAGTCCATGGAGAATAAGAGCACCTCCTCCCAGCTACCCACTGCACTGAGGCTAGGAAAGACTGTCACCACCGATAAATCTACGATAATCGAGAATTTCAATAAGCATTTTGCTACGGCTGGCCATGCTTTCCACCTGGCTACCCCTACCCCGGCCACCAGCTCTGCACCCTCCGCTGCAACTTGCCCATCACCGCATTCTTATTGGCAGACTAAATAGCCTTGGTTTCTCAAATGACTGCCTCACCTGGATCACCAACTACTTCTCAGATAGAGTTCAATGTGTCAAATCGGAGGGCCTGTTGTCTAGACCTCTGGCAGTCTCTATGGGGGTGCCACAGCGTTTAATTCTCGGGCCGACTCTATTCTCTGTGTATATCAATGATGTCGCTCTTGCTGCTGGTGACTCTCAGATCCACCTCTACGCAGACGACAACATTTTGTATACATCTGGCCCTTCATTGGACACTGTGTTAACAAACCTCCAAACGAGCTTCAATGCCATACAACACTCCTTCCGTGGCCTCCAACTGCTCTTAAACGCTAGTAAAACTAAATGCATGCTCTTCAATCGAACGCTGCTTGCACCCGCCCGCCCGACTAGAATCACTACTCTCGGCGGGTCTGACTTAGAATATGTGGACAACTACAAATACCTAGGTGTCTGGTTAGACCGTAAACTCTCCTTCCAGACTCACATTAAGCATCTTCAATCCAAAGTTAAATCTAGAATTGGCTTCCTATTTCGCAACAAAGCCTTCTTCACACATGCTGCTAAACATGCCCACGTAAAACTGACTATCCTACCGATACTTGACTTCGGCGATGTCATTTACAAAATAGCTTCCAACACTCTACTCAGCAAATCGGATGTAGTCTATCACAGTGCCATCCGTTTTGTCCCCAAAGCCCCATATACTACCCACCATTGTGACCTGTACGCACTCGTTGGCTGGCCCTCACTACAAATTCGTCGCCAAACCCACTGGCTCCAGGTCATCTATAAATCTCTTCTAGGCAAATCCCCGCCTTATCTTAGCTCATTGGTCACCATAGCAACACCCACCCGTAGTATGCGTTCCAGCAGGTATATCTCACTGGTCATCCCCAAAGCCAACACCTGCTTTGGCCGCCATTCCTTCCAGTTCTCTGCTGCAAATGACTGGAACAAACTGCAAAAATCTCTGAAGCTGGAGACACTTATCTCCCTCACTATCTTTAAGCATCAGTTGTCAGAGCAGCTTACCGATCACTGCACCTGTACACAGCCCATCTGTAATTAGCCCACCCAACTACCTCATCCCCATAATGTTATTTACATTGTTATTTATTTTGCTCATTTGCACCCCAGTATCTCTATTTGCACATAATCTTCTGCACTTCTATCACTCCAGTGTTAATACTAAATTATAATTGTAATTATTTGCACTATGGCCTATTTATTGCATTACCTCCATAACTTACTACATTTGCACACACTGCATATAGATTTTCTATTGTGTTATTGACTGTACGTTGTGTTTATTCCATATGTAACTCTGTGTTTGTTGTTTTTAATCGCACTGCTTTGCTTTATCTTGGCCAGGTCGCAGTTGTAAATGAGAACTTGTTCTCAACTGGCTTACCTGGTTAAATAAAGGTGAAATAAATAAATTAAATAAAAGAGCCAGGGTGTAGTAGGATTCAATCTTAGTCCTGTATTGGCTTTGCCTGTTTGATGGTTCGTCTGAGGGCATAGCGGGATTTCTTATAAGCGTCCGGATTAGTGTCCCGCTCATTTAATGCGGCAGCTCTTGCATTTAGTTCGGTGTGGATGTTGCCTGTAATCCATGGCTTCTGTTTGGGATATGTACGTACGGTCACTGTGGGGACAACGTCGTCGATGCACTTATTGATGAAGCCGGTGACTGAGGTGGTATATTCCTCAATGACATTGGATGAATCCCTGAACATATTCCAGTCTGTGCTAGCAAAACAGTCCTGTAGCGTAGCATCCGCGTCATCTGACTACTTGTTAAGATAATTAACATGTCAGGTTAGGTGAACTAGCGTGGCAGGTTTGGAGATTGAGGTTAAGGTTAGGAAAAGAGTTAGGGTTAGTTACAGTTGTCAACAACTCATGTTTGTCCCCGACGTGATAGAAACGGCCACGGACCAATGGCGAGCATCAATGGTGTAACTTGATATCAAGAAACGCCTTTATCAGAAAACGACCCTCTCCAAAAATGCGTTATGATACTGTATTCTGAATTAAAGTAAATTACTGGCAGCAATTGGCCAGTAAGCTACTGTAGAGTTTTAGGACAAAGTTTGTAGAATTCCTAAAATACAGTATATTACCATATTCTGTGGGGGTACAGCATTCTCATTCAGGGTTGCAACAAATATAGCTTCTTACAAGGCACTCCTTAAAATATGTTAATGTCCAGAGAGACTTTCCCCACCCACAACATTTCCCCTCAAGGCACCATAATTAGTACTGTAAAACACAATATTTTACATTTGAAATTACAGAAGGGACTTACTGTGTGCTTTAAAACAAATGTACAGTATTTTACTGTGCATTCTATGATAATCTACTGTATTCAGTTTATACAGTATCATACTGTTGATTAATACAGTAAGTTACTGATAAAATTCAAAAACCGGCTAATAGTGAACCTAAATGACCTCAGGTCTGTAAGATATTTACATTTTAGTCATTTAGCAGACGCTCTTATCCAGAGCGACTTACAGTTAGTGCATTCATCTTAAGATAGCTAGGTGAGGTTCCCATCACAAGCATAGTAAGTACACTTTTCCTCAATAAAGTAGTTACCAGCAAAGCCAGAGCTTTGGGGGGGGGGGGGGGGGGGGGGGGTCCATGCTGTTATAGTCATACTGAATGGTTTTTTAACAGTGAGCTTGTGAGCCAAAGCTATGGTTTTGTTCAAATTCATTAATTTCAGGACCTCTCAACTTTTCTTTGACAACAACGCCACCTTTCGGTTGCATATCGACATACATTTGAAGATGCAAGGGGAGGTATCTCCATGACGGCAGCAGTATGTTGGAGGGAGATACCAAGGTGTGAGAAGTGTGCCGAATGGCATGAGACAAAGGAATGTGTAGCATTGGGGAAAGTAGTGGTATGTGCTAATTGTAGGGGTGGCCATGGGGCTGTGGATCAGAAATGTCCCGTGCGAGAGAAGCAGTTTGAGGTTTCCAGGGTAAGTAAGTTTTTATATGCTGAGGCAGTGAAGAAAGTAGAGGAAGAAGGGTTGGGAGTGGTGAGAGTAGTAGATATGTACCAGTTCAGAGGGCTAGGCCAACAAGTGATATATGTTTCAGTAAGATTGGATTTTTAGCGTTTATAGCAATGGTTATTAATTGTACTGCAGGGATGGAACGTAAGTCGAAGAAAATTGAGGTTGTGGTGGCAGCTGCAGAGAGGTATTTGGGTGTGCAAGACTTGACATCAGAAGAGTTACAGGGTGTGTTAAGTGGTGATGTCCCATCATTTCAGGTTGAGGGCATGAGGTAGGAATGAATATATTTAAATAGTGGAGAAGGGTGGTGTTAATTATTAATAATATTTTTGAATTTGTGAGTGTAGTGTTAGATGGTAGATTATTTCTTTATTTTATTTTTCATGCAAAATATAAGGGAGTTGTACTCCAGTCTAGAAGGTGGCGGTAATGCAACAAATTGGATGCCAACCGCCATTAAACCTCATTGAAGAAGAAGACGAAGTATCTCCATGACGTTTCACGTTGACCCACACGTTGGACTCTACTAGACCCAACCAGCGGGGACGAAAGTGAAGTTATTCTCAATAATCGTGATTTAACAAGGTATGTAAAGTGTAAATTAACACTTATTATTTGCTGTGTTTCTATGATCATGAAGTAGAAGTTACTGAGTTTCTTACGTGCAGCTTGCTTGCAGGGTAGGAGTGGCTCTGGCTCGCTCGAATAAGCCAGACAGCTACACAGAAACCGATACAATGTGGCAAGTTCTGCATTCTCTTGCTCTGAAGGCCTTATAGCATTAATCGATTGATCATCTAGCGATTTACAGGGCTGCATTGTGCATGCTTTCAAGTTGGTGCTTTTTGAAGATGTTACAGTTAATAAGTTAGCACAGCTGTGTTTTGGGCCTATCTTCTTGTTCGGGTCTTCTGCCCTGTCCAATGACATTCGACCAACTTGGCATTCTATTTTTGCATGCATCTGTGGACTGTAGACCCCTTTTTGTGTTTGCAAACATTGCCGCACGAGGGCGATGCGCGCAAGTTGGTGGGGGAGTTATAGAACGCCAGCAAAAAAAATGCCTGTATTTACATGTTACTTATGAGTGCATTTCTCACTACTTATGGGTTATAATATAATTTTAAGGCTCGTATGAATGTCCTGCTTAAAGTTATGTTCGTCATCATCGCAAATCAACTGCATTATACTTATAAAACACTTAAACTTCAACCAGTAAAATGGCTCTTTGGCTAGCTTTTGCTACAGCCTAGCCTATCAATGAGCGTTAGCATTCTAGCTAATTGCTGCATCCAAAAGTTATTTTGCAAAGATCACAACCAAAGAATCTTAGCAACTGTTCAAGCAACAATTAAAACATAATTGTAAACGTACAGGAACCCCAAAAAGTAATTTCGTTTAGAAATAATAAAAATGCAAGGGCTTTGTTAAATGGGCGCAGATGGCGATGGGCTTTCTTACACGAATCTGTGCGTGACGTCAGTGTACTGGAAAAGGGTCTATGCAACTTAGTTTTAGCATGCATAACATGCTAGTAGTTGCTAGCTAAGAAGGATAATTTTACAAATGCAATGTTGTCTGGTCTACGCAAAACTGTAGCAGCAAGATTTCTGAAAGAATGTCCCATACAATACAACTCTTTCCCTCGTGGACTTGCCAAAGGTAACCGAACTATGGCCCTCGCCCAAGTGTCATCCAACAAGTGCAGTGGCGGCTACCAGAAGGTGTTCGAGCATGACAGGTGAGCTAGCCTCGTGAAACCAGACTAACTAACCTCCCGAGAGCTCATTCTGTTTTAGCTAGCAGATTGTAACGGCTAATGTGATGCCCCATTAGCCATTACAGGATAGGTACTGTTTGGCATATCACAGAGAATGTTCGACCAACCTTAACTTGGCAATACGATCTTTGTCCTCAATTCGGCGAAACATGTATCTTCCAAAATATCCGTGTTCAGTTGCAGGTGGTTCGTTTGAATTTAGAAAATGCTCTTTTTAAATAAATAAAAGTTTTACTCCATGAAATAATCCAAAAATGTGTTCGCCACCATCTTGTCTATTTCTAATCTTCTCTCATTGATCGAGAGCTCTGTCTACCTGCAACTCTACACAAACATGTTTAGAAGATATGTTTGGCCGAATCGAGAACGAAGATAGTATCGCCAAGTTAAGGTTAGTCGAAAAATTCTGTGCAACGCCAAACAGTACCTATCCTGTAACGGCGAATGGAGCATCTCAGTAGCCAGTCTGCTAGCTAATTCTGTTTCACTGTTATACATCAATGCAACACACTGCTGTATTTGCCATTGGAATACACAAATTATAGTTTTACAAATTCTATTATTTCCAATCTGCCCATATGGCTTGGGTGGAAACATGCAGTATGCCAGAAACGTGATGTAATGCATTTTCTTTTCTCAGCACTGAGCTGAAGTGTAAAATGAAAGTCGCTGTCTACCTGCCTCCTAAAGCAGAGAATGAGAAGTGCCCCGTCTTCTACTGGCTCTCTGGTGAGTTCTCACAGTCCATTGTCTCTCATATGTTACATAAAGACAGTGGTCACCATCCCTGCCCAGAATGTGTAGGTTTTTGTTCTATCCCAACACACCTGATTCAACTAATCATCAAGATCTTAATTGCCTGTACACTTGCACTGGTCTAGAATAAACATCTGCACACGATGACCACTGAATTATTCTGATCAACTACTTAGATTTTTCCTATGTGTGTTGAAAATGTTGTCCTTCACGTTTCACTGTGTGCTTCTAGGGTTGACATGCACAGAGCAGAACTTCATCACCAAGGCTGGCAGTCAGCAGGCGGCTTCTGAGCACGGAATCATCATCGTAGCCCCAGACACCAGCCCACGTACGCACGCACACACTTTACTCATTGCATAACATTCACCCTTCACTTCAATGCTCATGCCCACCTTTTAATAGTAATTATAGCTCCCACCCTACCTTCTTCCTACTCTTTCTGTGGTGTTCAGGTGGTTGTAACATCGAGGGTGAAGATGAGAGCTGGGACTTTGGCACGGGGGCTGGTTTCTATGTCAACGCCACCCAGGAGCCCTGGAAGACCAACTACTGCATGTACACCTATGTCACTGAGGAGGTGTGTCGGTCACATGATAATAGTAGTCGTGATGGTAGCATTTCCTATTACTATTTTGAATCCCCCAATACTGCTATGCACTGATAATCACCACCTCTCTCTCTCTTTATTTTTTTCTCTCTCAGCTCCCTCGTTTGATCAATGCTAACTTCCCCACTGACCCAGAGAAGATGTCCATCTCCGGCCACTCCATGGGGGGACATGGAGCCCTCATCTGCGCCCTGAAGAACCCTGGAAAATACAAGGCATGGCAATATGGCAGTCCTTTCATTATGATATCATATATTACCATCATCTTTTGAATATATGAATGAAGCCCTTTCTCTTCATCCCATTCTCACTGCAGGCTGTTTCTGCATTCGCCCCCATCTGTAACCCCATCCAGTGTGCCTGGGGGCAGAAGGCCTTCTCTGGGTACCTAGGAGAAGACAAGAAGACCTGGGAGGTACAGTAAGGGGTTACAGGAGGACTGGCCAAATCAACGGGATCACAACAAACAAAGTAGAATTCCAGAACAACACCAAGAGTTTCTAATCACTCTTCCTCCTCTCCTTTTCCTCCTTTCCAGGCGTATGACGCCACGGTGCTGGCAGCATCATACTCTGGCCCACAGCTGGACATCCTGATCGACCAGGGCCGTGATGACCAGTTCCTGTCGGCCAGCCAGCTGCTTCCTGACAACCTGATCGCCGCCTGCTCAGAAAAGAAGATTCCTGTTGTGTTCAGGCTGCAGCCGGTGAGTGCTGCCACCCAGTGGCCAACTATAGCAACTGTTTGATCTTGAAATATTTTTAGTAGAAATACCTACTATGTGTACTGAACTAGGGTTGGTGACTTTGCTGTATGATTTTCCCTGCTGCCAGTTGTTCATCTCAGTAGTTATATACAATATGTGCTTGTTTACTGATGTAAAATGCAGTGAGTATCATCATATTGCTATGTCATCAGACTAACAGTGCCATTAATGTCTCCATCAGGGCTACGACCACAGCTACTTCTTCATCTATTCCTTCATCACCGACCACATCAAGCACCACGCCAAGTTCCTCAATGCTTAAGACTGACTGCTGGACCAGAACCCAACCAGGCTTTCTCCTCTGTGCCTTCTACTCAAACTGTGCACCTGCTACTGTCCACCTGTCCCATCCAGAGAGACCTAGTGCCTGGTGAGCTAAAATTAACCTGATGCGCCTGTTGAGCTGAAATGAACACACCTGCTATGTTGAGTCAAGCTGAGAACAGACAATAGTGGGGCCAGGATGTTTGGTGTTAAGAGGAGCTTGCTTGCTAATCATGTGGTCACTCCAACTGTATTTCTTTCAAAATAAAGGTTCAGTTATTACTTTTGATTACATTTGTTTCCATCTTATGACCTTAGGCTTATACACTCTGACATCTCTGAGACAATACAAAATACATGTAGGTGGACTATAGATCAAACATAAGACAATGTGCTTTTTACAGATAAGTGCTTTACTGATAAAGTGATGAGAAATATATACAGTATTCACAGCAGTTAAGGCAACATTAAAGGGGTGTTTCATGCAATAAAATCCAAATTGCTGTACAACAAATACACCAATATGACAAGAGGTACAAAATTGTATAATATGATACGTCAATTTTAAGAAACCTAAACATATTTTTTTTTTTACATTTCCTCCCAATCAAAGTACAAAACTGAGTACAAGCTTTCAGGACTATATACAGAGAAAGGTAGAAAAGGGCAACACAGCTAAACTCAGCAGTCAACAGTTATACTGTGGTAAAAACATTTCGCACATTTGTATAGTTCAAATAAATGTCATTGTCATACACACATTTCTAATTTAAAATGGAGCTCTGAGATTTGTCAGTTGCCAAAACAAACTATAAAAACGTGCTGATAATTTCAGGCCCATAGGCAGCCATACAGCCACTCCTAAAGGCCCAAGGGATTGACTGACTAATCAATGAACTAAAAGTAATGACCTCTTTAAAAAAAAAAAATGTAAGTCCCCTCTTCTTTAGGTTTCTAAACTGTCAGGTTTGCAGCACACGGCCCAAACCTCCATAAGGAAACGATAAGCTACACAGTCACTTTCTCCTACTAAGCAAATATCCTTGTCATATTTCCCTTTAGTTTCCACATATCTTTTCTATCATCAAAATAGGAGGAAATGTTAGAACTGGGAGAAGGGATACTGGTAGTCAAATGTCAGCACCTGAGTAGTTCTATTTAGCTAGGTGGAAAGGACATTACTTTGAGTATTAAAGTAGGATTACTGTGCATAATGGTTGTTTTTACTATATATAATGTATTGTAAATTATTAAATATTAGCTACATTATATACATAAATAGTAGTAGTGTTGTAATTGTTGTTACTTTGAATTCTACATTAGCAATGAGATCACTCAAGATCCTGATTCTAAGAGATTGTTCACTTTGCCTCAGGAGTGTGGCTGATTTTATGTGTGGTGGTGACTGTTAAAATATTCAAATTACTCTTAAAGATGCACTATTCAGAAATCGCTCCGCCATTTCCTGGTTGCTAAAATTCCAATTGTTCGTAATTTCAGTTTGTGACAAAACAAGCAAGTATAGTGTAGAGAATCATTGTACCATCTAAACCGCTGTGAAATATATTTTCCATAACCAGAACTATTGTATTTTCAGCTGTTTGAAGCTGGTGTACGAAACCGAAAGTAAACTATATATAAAACGGAACTGAACGGGATGCATAGAAATAGCGTAGATAGAACAGATCTACCACTTAGACTTGCTTTCAATGAGTGACAGAGCTATACCTCACATTTCTATGTGAATTTGGTCGTCGCCCAAAAAGTTATATTGCAGCTTTAATAAAGTAATAAATACAATTCATTTGGAAAGTATTCACTTTTTCCACGGTTTGTTACGTTACAGCCTTGTTCTAAAATGGATTAAATTGTTTTTTTCTTCCCCTCATTAATCTACACAATACCCCATAATGACAAAGCAAAAACAGGTTTTTAGAAATTTTTGCAAAAAACGGATGACATTTACATAAGTATTCAGACTCTTTACTCAGTACTTTGTTGAAGCACCTTGACAGCGATTACAGCCTCAAGTCTTCTTGGGTATGACACTACAAGCTTGGCACACCTGTATTTGGGGAGTTTCTTCCATTCTTCTCTGCAGATCCTCTCAAACTCTGTCAGGTTGGATGGGGAGCGTCGCTGCAGAGCTATTTTCAGGTCTCTCCAGAGATGTTCGATCAGGTTCAAGTCAGGGCTCTGGCTGGGCCACTCAAGGACATTCAGAGACTTGTCCCGAAGCCACTCCTGCGTTTTCTTGGCTGTGTGCTTAGTCGTTGTCCTGTTGGAAGGTGAACCTTCACCCCAGTCTGAGGTCCTGAGCACTCTGGAGCAGGTTTTCATCAACGATCTCTCTGTACTTTGCTCCGTTCATCTTTCCCTCGGTCCTGACTAGTCTCACAGTCCATGCCGCTGAAAAACATCCCCACAACATGATGCTGCCATCACCATGCTTCACCATAGGGATGGTGCCAGGATTCCTCCAGACGTGACACTTGGCATTCAGGCCAAAGAGTTCAATCTTGGTTTCATCAGACCAGATAATCTTTTTTCTCATGGTCTGCCTTTTGGCAAACTCCAAGCGGGCTGTCATGTGCCTTTTACAGAGGAGTGGCTTCCGTCTGGCCACTCTAAAATAAAGGCCAGATTGTTGGAGTGCTGCAGAGATGGTTGTCCTTCTGGAATGTTCTCCTATCTCCACAGAGGAACTCTGGAGCTCTGTCAGAGTGACCATAGGTTTCTTGGTCACCTCCCTCACCAAGGCCCTTCTCCCCCGATTGCTCAGTTTGGCTGGGCAGCCAGCTCTAGGAAGAGTCTTGGTGGTTCCAAACTTCTTCCATTTAAGAATGATGGAGGCCACTGTGTTCTTGGGGATCTTCAATGCTGCAAACTTTTTTTGGTACCCTTCCCCAGATCTGTGCCTCAACTCAATCCTGTCTCGGAGGTCTACGGTCAATTCCTTTGACCTCATGGCTTGGTTTATGCTCTGAGATGCACTGTCAACTGTGGGACCTTATATAGACAGGTGTGCCTTTCCAAATCATGTCCAATAAATTGAATTTACCACAGGTGAACTCCCAAGTTGCAGAAACATCTCAAGGATGATCAATGGAAACAGGATCCACCTGAGCTCAATTTCAAGTCTCATAGCAAAGGGTCTGAATACTTGTGTAAATAAGGTATGTTTTTTTATTTTGAATACATTCGCTAAAATTTCTAAACCTGTTTTCGCTTTGTCATTATAGGGTATTGTGTGTAGATTGATTAATTTTCTATTTATTTAATCAATTTCAGAATCGGGCTATAACGCAACAAAATGTGGGAAAAGTGAAGGGGTCTGAATACTTTCCGAATGCACTGTGTATACTTTCTAAATACAAAACCCACTTGCACAAACCATCACATTGACGCTTATCACCACTTCTCATAAAAACATTACCACACGTCTAAAGACAATTAGATCATTGGAATAGTACAAACCATATATTCAAAAACATTAAAGCTGGAATCATTAGTTGATACATCCATTTTTGGACTTATAAATTAATGATATATACCCATTGATTCTTGAAGAATATAACTTACAAATGCCTCACGAGCTCAGTTAAACTGTCGTACCCCATTAGAACCCAGAATAAAAACGTGTTTTACTCCTGTTTGTAAACAATGTAAATGTAAACAAACACGGTATAGCCTCAAAACATATTTAAAACTATAATTTTGTTATCATGGATGGTCAGTCCTTTCATTCATAGCGCTATGAATTTGAGTGGTTACATTTCTCCAGGCCCATCCCTCAGCTTTTTACCAAAACACAGGCTGTGTGGCCTCTTGATATTGTTTCAATTAAGGATTCTAGCTTTAATTACATTTTACATTTTAGTCATTTAGCAGACTCTTATCCAGAGCGTTAATGAATTGCTGTCTCATACGTAGCTCTGAAAAAACAGTTTAGATGTTTTGGCAACTGTCAAATCTATCCAGTGGAACATTGTTTGATTTTACTGCTAAATCTTAAGCTTTGGATACCAAGCTGTATAAAATGCATATCTGTACAATAAAAACCCAACACCATTGCTCACACACCTAGTATGCTTATTTCGGAGTGTTCTGCTGTTTGTGTAGTAGTGGGATATTGGGCACTCAGGCATCAACTCTTCATATACTGCTAACAGTGTCTCTAAATCAGTGAATGCATTTGTTACTTTTAAATGCTAACGTTGTATGTCCTACATGACCACCTAGCATGGGCAGCATCACCCCACACTTCACGAGAGGTTATTTAGCAGTAAATCAAATTGTATTTGTCACATACACGTGTTTAGCAGATGTTATAGCGGGTGTAGCGAAATGCTTGTAAAGCCGTATACAATGTACTAGGGCAGGGGTGTCCAACCCTATTCCTGGAGAGCTACCTTCCTGTATGTTTTCACTCCAACCCCAGTTGTAACTAGCCTGGTTCAGCTTATCAACCAGCTAATTATTAGAATCAGGCTAGATTAGGGTTGGAGTGAAAACCTACAGGTGGTAGCTCTCCAGGAACAGGGTTGGAGAGCCCAGTACTAGGGCATGCAAACCCTCTCCTCTCTTTTTCATTGTCTAACTATGACTCCTGTCACTCTCTTTGACAAGCACGCAGTCAGGCATGCGCGCGCACACACACACACACACACAATGTTAGAGTAATACCATTGACCGAGAAGCAGGCTACGGAATGAAGCATGAGTGTAGTAAGCCCACACCTCCCCTGAGTTACATACCCACAACCACTCCCGATTCAACAACCAAAACACAATGTTCCCATAATGTTAGGACAACACTTCTACCCCTACAGAGGTGGTGAGAGATCAATTTAAAGTAAAACATAATACAATATACAGAACTATACCTAAAATATATTACCTATTAGAGAAAAATATTTGCGGGATTCTTTTCAATGTATACAACTCTCAGCCACTTGGCCATGTCCATTGTAAATATCTTGAAATAGGGAAGCGGTAGCAGAGAGAGCGCTACGTTGGAGTGTCTGGTGTTTAGTCTCAGAATACTGAAGGTGATTATAATAATACCTGTCCTTAGGAATAGAGGGGTGAAAACTGACAGCCTGTGAAATGCATAGTCAAACGTACACAGTGCAGCATGCTAGAAGCTGTTGTAGGCAGGGTTCAAGCTACAGGAGTGTCCAAGGGTGCTGGATGCTGCCACAACAAAGCAGGGCACTCGCGTCAGAATTAAACACCATCAACGTGGACACCCCTGTCAGCTTTGAATATCATATCCACTATGTCATTTAGGGTACCCCACGCATCAATGTGCAACTTCAAACCCTGGTTGTAAGAAACACGAAAGGAAGACAGATATAGGCTACAGTCCCTTGGAAAAGGCTATTTCAGGAGGTACAATGGCAACTTGTGTTCGTTCACTTTGACAAAGTGGTGTGTGTGTGTGGGTCTTCCCTCTCACGTGAAGAGAGCCTGCTTGGTTGAAGTCTCATCCACCAGCGCCTGGACTGTCATGCTCACCTTTATCATACCCTTCTCCTCTAGTATGTGATGAGGCAGACACAGCTTATCCTGTGAAGGTTCCACAGAGAAAGAGAAGGAAGAGACAGAGAGAGTGGGGGGGGGGGGGGGGAGGGAGGGAGAGGAGATCGGGAATGAGTGGGACAGAAATAGGGAGACGGACAAGAAAGGAGGCAGCAACAACAAGTAAATAAAAACCCCTCAATACAACTATGGTGATGAGTGAACATACAGACAGTACAGGTGTGTGTAGGAGTATGTTGGATAACCATTATGAGGAATCTGAACAGCACTGGACTCATCATCCTTCAGAGAACAGCAACACAGAATAGAAGAGAGAACTGTACATTTATTACCAGTTCCATTCACACCATCAGATATACAAGTCATATAAAGCCTCACAGCACTGGCTGAATTAAAACAAACAGAACTATTAGTAGTCGCTGGGTAAAATAAACTTCCTTCCAATGTATCTTGAGGTTTTGAAAAGAAGAAAATAAGTCTACGGTCTGAACCACGACAGAATAGTACAATAGTAGGCCTAAAACTTCTACATACTGTAGTCATGTAACCCCCCCAGGGTAAATCAACTATAGCGATATGAGAGTTATGTACAGGTAACTTACAAAATAAAGGAAACTCCAACAAAGTGTCTTAATGGGGTGTTGGGCCACCAACAACTTCAGTGCACCTTGGCATAGATTCTACATGTGTCTGGAACTCTATTGGAGGGATATGACACCATTCTTCCACGAAGAACTTCATAATTTGGTGTTTTGTTGATGGTGGTGGAAAACGCTGTCTCAGGTGCCGCTCCAGAATCTCCCATAAGTGTTCAATTGGGTTGAGATCTGGTGACTGAGACGGCCATGGCATATGGTTTGCATCATTTTCATGTTCATCAAACCATTCAGTGATCACTCGTGCCCTGTGGATTGGGGCATTGTCATCTTATCGGGGCATCGGCATGGTAGCCAAAATAATGGCCTGCCCAGCATCTTTATACATGACCCTAGGCATGATGGGATGTTAATTGCTTAATTAACTCAGGAACCATACCTGTGTGGAAGCACCCGCTTTCAATATACTTTATATCCGTCATTTACTCAAGTGTTTCCATTATTTTGGCAGTTATCTGTACATGGTCGAGATGTGCAGTAGTGACGTGATTATTGAACTTAATTTAGTGACAGTGTTCTGTAGTGACATTCTACAGTCTAGTCATAAGTGGTGTGTTTATTAGGTCCAAACCTATACACTGTGTTGTATCTTTGTCATAGATGGCATCACTATTGAGCTTTACTATTTACTTTGAACAGACAGTATAATAACAACTGTATTGTACCTGTATCTGATGTGTCTTGAAGAGAGAGATCAATGCAACAAAAAAGCTCCAAGATCCAGCTTGATAGAGGAACCCTATTAATGGTCTGTGCTTACCTGGACCCAAACTAGACAGGCTGTATGGAACCAAGAGACAGTGTATGACCCCATGGGGAGTGGGTATACTGTATGACCCCATACAACAGGTCTGTGACCCCAGAGGGCATTAATAAAGAGAACAGTCCAACATGACAGGCTTGATTTGAGACATTGGCCAAAGAGTTGTAGAGAGTCTTCCGGTAACCCCTTGTATACAAGTTCCAGGCTTCTTTTCAACAGTTGGAATGTGCAGTATTGATGGGGACAGTATATGAATGCATGTGTGTGAGGTTGTGAGTCGGTATTTATTGGAGTTTAATGGTGCGCATCTGTAATGTGTGCATGAATACAAGTGTGTATGAGAGACACACTGTTGTGTGAGTCAGCAGTTTTCCCAGACAGAGGAGAAGAGCACAGAAACGAGGTTGAAGAAAAAGAGGAGGAGGATTGCGGACAGAGACGTGTTGGCACATGCGGGGGGCAGGGCTGAGAGGAGGGTGGGCTTTGACAGGAGATTGACAGGTGGCATTACGTCAGCTCGCTCCAGCTATAGGCCACAAACAGCAGGAGGAGACAGAACACATGTACTAGGCTCGAGCCAATCAGGTCCCAGGGCTGCCAGGCGGGAGGCGGAGCCTGGGCGACCTGTGTAGACGCCTCGGGGGCGGGGCTTGGGTTTGGACTCGGGCCCTTCCCCTGTCTGTCTGAATTCCTCCCCTCTGTGGGGGTCTCCATGGCGACCAGGGCGCACACGGTGACACGGATCGGCCGCAGGTGACACTGGATGATGTCATATGCTGAGCAGAGGGACGACTGAGGACCCAAAGAGGAGCGGAGGTGGTAACATACAATGTGAATGAAGGTGAAGGGAGAAGGATTGGAAATAGGAAAAGGAGTTGAAGGGATGAATGGAGAAGAATGGAAAACAGGGAAAAGAATGATACAGATAGAAGGAAAGGGCTCACATAGGAACGTCAAAGGATTTTACGAATGAAGAAGAGAAATACAGGCATATAGAAGTGGAGGAGAATGATGAGCGAGGGAAGAACAACACATAGGAGAGAAAATACCAGAACAAAGAAGAGGAAGAAATGGGAAGGGAGTGCCAGGAAAAGAGAAATAAGGGGAGGGGATTCAGCGGAGAAGAAGAGAAGATAGACGGTGGTCCAGCAGGAAAACAGAACAGAGAGAAACAAGGCAGGATGTTAACCAGTGGGAACAAGAGGTCAGGGGTCAAGGTATGTGTTTCTGTGCAGGGCTGCGCAGGCGTGGGTTACCAGGGCAATGTGCAGGGCTGCTTTTTGAGAGAGAGTATGTGACTTACTACATTTATAAATCTGAGACTGAACTGTCTCTTTCAGAAAGCAGCCCATGCCGGGGTGTGGAGCGTTAGGAGCAATGAGGGTGCAGTCGGTGTTAGCCAGCTACATCTTCACATGCATTTGCTAGCAATAGCTTTCTATCCAGCGCAAAGCACCTGTTTCAGCGAGGCAGCAACATTTCAGCCAGCAAGCAGCAGGATTACAAGATGGCTAGGGCCAGGTTATACAAGCAAAACCAGACTAGCAACAGCAAACAAGCAGGAGGTCTAAGGAAGCAGCCAAGAGGTCTCAGACAGTCTCACTGTTGGTAATGGTGCTACTGTGCATTCTAATGTACAGTCCCAGCAGGCTACTCAAACAGTGACTGAAAGGCAACTTTTGTAGTGTGAGGTTTCGACCAGGCTCATTGAGTGATGAGAGAATACGTTAAACACAATCACAGCAGGGCTTACTATACCAGGGTATGATCAAATAATGAGTCCCGCTACTACTGTATGTGTAACCATGGACGACAGAAATAGTGGTCATAATTACTGAATATATTTACTAAAGGAGCAATCACACAGCAACGAGGAGCCAGGGTCACTGGGCCAATTTGATAGTCGAACACATCTTATTAAAGAGCGACTGCCCCTAAAAAGCAATTTATCGTTTTGAAAATGGCCTATGTGGCATCGATAGGAGTCAGAAACATTTATTATACTGTCAAAATTGACTACAAGGTGTAAATAGGATAATGTTGGTCATAAAGATGATAGGAAATAATTGTATGTCGCGGAATGAAGGGTACCGTAACAGTTGTCCGTGGGTTGGGTTTATTTTAATCCTGTCCACAGCTGACAGCACCCAAGTAATCATCAATTCGGAGCGCAGCTGCACGAGACCGATCTTAATTTGGTTCTGTTAGTTTTGACCATCAGTAAATTACACAATGTACATGGGACAATATTTTAAAAGGTCAATAGCTCCAAATTTCAATGACTTAAAAACCTCAAACCAACTATAAATTGTAGAAAGTGGTATACAAATTTTGAAAGCATATAATGAGACAACTAAAAGATGTACAACATTAAAATATTGTCCCATTTACATTGTGTCATTTTTGATGGTCCCTAACTATCCCCAGAGATGGGCTATTCAAAGTCAAACCAATTTTGCCACGTTTGCACATCAGCTGGCTGAAGCTAATTGGCTGTGAACACAGACGAGACACCCACATCAAACCACACCCCGAAACCAACTCACGTTTGAATTCAGTCATGGTCGCTAGCGTTTCTTAATGTGCCAAATTAGGAAGTGCAATCGCCCTTTAAGTCCTATGTTGCCATCCCATACACACACAACATCTTTCAGTCAAGTAAATGACATGAGAGCACAACAGCTCCTGTTAAACTCATTTTTTTCTTTGGCACGCGCTGGGGTCAGAACCAGGCAAGAGCCAGGTCAAAGTTTAAAAGCATAGAGGAAGCCATGATGATGACAGCATAGTCCAGTGCGATGATGATGATGATGCAGCTTTAATGCTTGCCATTATTTTCTCTCTTTCAGAGGAGGTAGTGGGGGATGGGAAGGTGATTGGCTAGATGTGTCAGTTCTGGGATCAAACTTTGTGCTCTGACTGGGCAGATTGTTTTAAGGTGATGATTATAAAGGGGTTTGGTCCCAATGTCAAATACATATCCTAGAACTGTATTCCTGTGTAAACTAAAGAAGTTGTAGACTTGTCAAATGGTCTAGTTTCATCCCAGCACTAGCACCCAGCTCTTTCTGACACTTCATGCTAGTGTGCATAGTATTGGTGTCCTCTACAGGCTGTTTGCATCACTGATCCCCAATCAGCCCACCCAGAACTAGATTCCAACCCCAATGATACTATAGCTTTTATTCAAACTCTTAACAGATCAAGGATCAGTTTCCTTCAGTCAAATCCCAACTCTAACAGGTGAATCTGAAATAGAGTGCCTGATTCAGGATCAATGAGGTGCCACTATCTAACAGACAGGAATGTCTCACCTCGGGAACGCCCATCTTCCTACAGGCATCCAGGAAGTTCTCCACGTTCCTCCGACACTTGGCCATGCTGAGTTTGGGCTACAGGGTCACACACAGAACACAGAGCTCAACACACACTATAACTGTATATAACACAAAGAATCACCCATTCCTATGTATCCCTCTTTAACCCCTCATTGACCCCCAGACGTACCACAGCGGACGAGGGCACATGGATGCTGGCCACGGAGCGTGGGCGAATGTGATTGGCCAGATGGCAGAGCACCACCCCGTCCATGAGGGAGGAGCCGAGGTCTTCAGGAAGAGCCACCTTCAGTCTGCTCTCTATGCTCTGAGGGGAGACAGAAGGGGTAAGAGGGGTCAAACCACACACCTTAATACATGCACAAACTGAGGACATAATGCTACTGGATAGGGAGTTTACTTCCAGACGAGAGTGAGGGAGGGAAAGAGATTGACAGAGAAGCTCTCACCTCTCTGAGCTGTTCCATCAGCTCCAGCTCTTCTCTCAGCTGTTCCATCTTCCTCCTCATGGTGAACTGAGGATCCACAGACTCCAGACTCTTATGGGTCCTCAGGAACACTGCCCCCAACAGGCCGGGGGAGAGAACAGGCCAGCCGTTAAACAGGGTGCTCAGCAACTAACACTTACACATACTGAACTGTAATAATACATTCAGACCCACGCACACACACACATGCATTTAACACCCATAAAAGCACACATTCTGTAGCCTACATACACTATACTGTATATACAAAAGTATGTGGACACCCCTTCAAATTATTGGATTTGGCTATTTCAGCCACACCCGTTGCTGACAGGTGTATAAAATCGAGCACACAGCCATGCAATCTCCATAGACAAACATAGGCAATAGAATGGCCTTACTGAAGAGCTCAGTGACTTTCAACGTGTGACCGTCATAGGATGCCACCTTTCCAACAAGTCAGTTTGTTAAATGTATGCCCTGCTAGAGCTGCCCCAGTCAACTGTAAGTGGTGTTATTGTGAAGTGGAAACGTCTAGGAGCAACAGCGGCTCAGCAGTGAAGTGATTGGCCACACAAGTTCACAGAACGGGACCGCCGAGTGCTGAAGCGCGTACAAATCGGCTGTCCTTGGCTGCAACACTCACTACTGCGTTCCAAAATGCATCTGGAAGCAACGTCAGCACAAGAACTGTTCTTCGGGAGCTTCATGAAATGGGTTTTTATGGCCGAACAGCCGCACACAAGCCTAAGATCACCATGCGCAATGCCAAGCGTCAGCTTGAGTGGTGTAAAGCTCGCCGCCGTTGGACTCTGGAGCAGTGGAAACACGTTCTCTGGAGTGATGTATCACGCTTAACCATCTGGCAGTCCGACGGACGAATCTGGGTTTGGCGGATGCCAGGAGAACACTACCTGCCCGAATGCATAGTACCAACTGTAAAGTTGTGGAGGATGAATAATGGTCTGGGGCTGTTTTTCATGGTTCGGGCTAGGTCCCTTAGTTCCAGTGAAGGGAAATCTTAACGTTACAGCATACAATGACATCCTAGACGATTCTGTGCTTTCTAACTTTGTGGCAACAGTTTGGGGAAGGCCCTTTCCTGTTTCAGCAGGACAATAATAATAAATAATAATAATAATATCCCATTTAGCAGACGCTTTTATCCAAAGCGACAATGCTCCTGTGCACAAAGTGAGGTCCATACAGAAATGGTTTGTCGAGATCGGTGTGGAAGAACTTGAATGGCCTGCACAGAGCCCTGACCTCAACCCATCGAACACTTTTGGGATGAATTGGAACGCTGACTGCGAGCCAGGCCTAATCTCCCAACATCAGTGCCCGAACTCACTAATGCTCTTGTGGCTGAATGGAAGCAAGTCCCCACAGCAATGTTCCAACATCTAGTGGAAAGCCTTCCCCGAAAAGGGGGGACCATCTCCATATTAATGCCCATGAGTTTGGAATGAGATGTTCGACGAGCAGGTTTCCACATACTTTTGGTCATGTAGTGTAAATGCATACTGCAATATACACTGACACCGAAATCACACTTTCTCTTACAAACGGATACGTAGCTACTGTTATTGCATACTTGCATAACCCCTTATTCATATCCATATGCACTCTACAGTGCTGGGCTCTGGGCTGCCTTCATTGTCATGAAGATTGGTTTTCCTAAAGAAGTTCCACTTAGTCAATCCTGCACACCAACAGATGGGATAGCATGACCCCTCCAGGACCCACAGCAACTGACAGGAGATTTGAAGAGGCTTGACGTAATGAAGCATATTTATTTGTTTTGTGTTATTGTACTCGTAAAAAGTATTCTCTGAGTGGCGCAGTGGTCTAAGGCACTGCATCGCAGTGCTGACTGTGCCACTAGAGATCCTGGTTCGAATCCAGGCTCTGTCGCAGCCGGCCGCGACCGGGAGACTCATGGGCGGCGCACAATTGGCCCAGCGTCGTCCAGGGTAGGGGAGGGAATGGCCGGCAGGGATGTAGCTCAGTTGATAGAGCATGGCGTTTGCAACGCCAGGGTTGTGGGTTCGATTCCCACGGGGTGCCAGTATAAAAAAATATATATATGTATTCACTAACTGTAAGTCGCTCTGGATAAGAGCGTCTGCTAAATGACTAAAATGTAATGTAATGTAAATGTAATATATGAATAAAACCACTTTTTAAACTGGTAAGCATACATATAACAAAGCAAACGCATTAGAGGAAATTAAGCATTTTTTTAAAGTGGGAGGAGGAAATGTATTCAGAGGAGTGTGTGTGTGTGTGTGTGTGTGTGTGAGTGAGCGAGAGAGAGAGAGAGAAACAGTCTTGGCCTCTGATCACATGTTACAGCCATCGTTCTACAACATGGGAGTGAATCATTTACAAAGTCTGTGGCCTATATTGTAGTCATAAATCTCCCTTGCAACAGCCTCCATATACAGCTCAGTGACACACCACCACATGGAACACATTCAGTAGCTCTGCCTTGTGGTACAAAGTCCCACCACATGGGGGAGCCCAAGGGTCACTGGACACTTCAACCCACACTTGGGGAAAAGGAAAGGAGAATGCATTTCTAAAGTATTCACACTAGACCTTAATAACATCGGCCTTATCTGACCATCTCTCACAGGGGCAATGGCTCCTTGAGGGGCTATCCCAGTAGGACGTTAGAGATAAACACACACAGGCCTCATTCAGAAGCATGACAGGCTGATATCTACCAGAGTAGGTAGAGAGGGGCAGCGAGGGGCCATCACTCCCCCATCGCCATAGAGAGAACAGGATGTTGACTATTATAGAGGGTGTGAATATGGTTAGGGAGGGGAAAGAGTAACATTCAACACCAGAATGTGACATGACCATGTAGAGAGGAAGCACAGATATGTCAATTATTGTAAACACAAACTCTGTGTGAAATAGCTTACAGAAGTCTCATACTAGGGCCTATCAATAACCAAGGCAGCACAAGAGGGGTTTCGTAGTTACAGCCAGTCACAATATAGCATGGGGGAATGATTTAACTCAACCCCCCTTCACTGTGGCTGGGCTGACCCTGACCCTGACAATAACAATAACTGTTTATGACGCCAGGGACTCATCTTAAAGCTGGTTACATGGTAATAAAACACAGAAGGAGTTAATTAATTAGGACATTATAAGCCCCTCCCCCTTTCTCCCCTTCCTTCCTTCCCTCTGTGATAATGGTGGGTCCCTAGAGGCCATACTGATAGGCTGTCAGTCACTTTTACACAGATGGAGAAACAGAGACTTCCTGGCATTCACTGACTACCCAATCACCAACTCACGCACCACACACACACACACACACCAGGATTGTGCTAATTTCAGAATCTCTGAATTGACTCCCATTCAACTCATGAGTTGAAAATCGAATTGAATCAATGTGAATTTGAGTGACGGGAAGTAGAATTTAATTCAGTGCAATTCAATATAATGACATGTTTTATGTACAAAACATTAAGAACACCTGCTCTTTCCATGACAGACTGACCAGGTGAATCCAGGTGAAAGCTATGACACCTTATTGATGTCACTGTTTAAATCCACTTCAATCAGTGTAGATGAAGGGGAGGAGACAGGTTAAAGAAGGAATTTTAAGCCTTGAGACATGGATTGTGTATGTGTGCCATTCAGAGGGTGAATGGGCAAGACAAAAGATTTAAGTGCCTTTGAACGGGGTATGGTAGTAGGTGCCAGGCGCACTGGTTTGTGTCAAGAACTTGACATAACTGTGGGAAGCATTGGAGTCAACATGGGCCAGCATCCCTGAGGAATGCTTTTGACAACTTGTAGAGTCCATGCCCCGACGAATTGAGGCTGTTCTGAGGGCAAAGGGGGGTGCAACTCAATATTAGGAAGGTGTTGCTAATGTTTGGTATACTCTGTGTATATTTGTATAGACTACACCTAATATAGAATAGAAGAGGAAGTAGAATTTCACTGAATTCAATTATATTTCCTTTAATTCAAATGTGCAATTCTGTATCCTGTTTACTACCTCAGTTGAAATTCAATTCAAATTCAAGAATTGAATTGGAATTTGAGGCATTCTCAATTAAATTCTGAATTGAGCACAGCCCTGACACACACACACACGCGAGTGCCCATGATGCGGGCCCCTCAGGGCTGCGTGCTTAGTCCCCTCCTGTACGCCCTGTTCACCCACGACTGCGTGGCCAAGCACGACTCCAACACCATCATTACGTTTGATGACGACACAACAGTGATCGCCGTCAACGATAAGACAGCCTTTAGGGAGGAGGTCAGAGACCTGGCAGTGTGGTGCCAGAACAACAACCTCTCCCTTAACGTAAGCAAGACAAAGGAGCTGATCGTAGACTACAGAAAAAGGAGGGCCGAACACGCCCCCATTCAAATCGACGGGGCTGTAGTGGAGCGGGTCGAGAGTTTCAAATTCCTTGGTGTCCACATCACCAACAAGCGGGTCGAGAGTTTCAAGTTCCTTGGTGTCCACATCACCAACAAACTATCATATTCCAAACACACCAAGACAGTTGTGAAGAGGGCACGACAACACCTTTTCCACCTCAGGAGACAGAAAAGATTTGGCATGGGTCCCCAGATCCTCAAAGTTCTACAGCCGCACCATCGAGAGCATCCTGACCGGTTGCATCACCGCCTGGTATGGCAACTGCCCGGCATCCGACCATAAGGCACTACAGAGGGTAGTGCGTATGGCCCAGTACATCACTGGGGCCAAGCTTCCTGCCATCCAGGACCTATATACTGGGCAGTATCAGAGGAAGGCCCCCAAAATTGTCAAAGACTCCAGTCACCCAAGTCATAGACTGTTCTCTCTGCTACCGCATGGCAAGCAGTACCGGAGTGCCAAGTCTAGGTCCAAAAGGCTCCTTAACAGCTTCTACCCCCAAGCCATAAGACTGCTGAACAATTAATCAAATGGCCACCCGGACTATTTACATTGACACCCCCCCGTTTGTTTTTACACTGCTGCTACTCACTGTTTATTATCTATGCATAGTCACTTTACCCCCACCTACATGTACAAATTACCTCGACTAACCTGTACCCCCGCACATTGACTCGGTACCGGTACCCCCTGTATATAGTTTATTTAGTAAATATTTTCTTAACTCTAT